AATTTGATTTCTAGTTAATTGGGCCATAATATCGAATTGTTGTAGCGGTTGTGATACTTTGTCTCTCCATTCGTGTGACCGTCATGTTCCCAAAGTAGTAGCTATTTTTTTGAATCGACCACACTGACTTACAACATCTTTGCTTAATTTCCAAAATTTCCTTATTCGTTTCTTCCTTGAGACAACTTTTCCTTTGAGTAGCGAAATGTCCATAATGCCAATATCTACTTTTTACTGGTCTTGCTGTATCCATGCTTGCTCCTTATTTCCTTAAGCAATAGGCAAAGTTATCGCAAACTCTGACTTCGTCCAATCTCCTGTTAATTAAATAGCTTTCCGAAAGGATTTCGGTGTCGTCTCATATCTTCCGTTTCCTTGTGTTTTCGCAGTATGAGGCTAAAAAGGACACACTTAAAGAGGAGTCGAATATAAACACGTCAGAAGTTGTAATTGGGAGTAGATAAATTAGCCATGACGGAACGAAAAATGATAGAACAACCATTCTTCAGGAAGTTGTTGAGGTGATTTATCTCCCTTGTCTCTGGGACGAGTTGTAGCTTGGTGCTGAGCTTGTCAATACTTACTGACGCTGCCGGCGAAACGTCTGTGAATGTACCAAGTCCGCAGTCCGACGCTGGGAATTATGATAACCCCCATAGTAGAGGGCTTCGGACAAGATGAATCCAATTTAGTTGCCCTGACAACACTGACAAGTTGAGAATACGAGGTCAGACCACTTCTATATATGAAAAGGAGACTGCGACCATACCAAAGGTCACGGTATTTTGGTTTTAATTTATTTTGTTAAACTAATTTCTTCATCACCTCTCAAGGAAATAGGCTGAACATAACTCAGATCTCCGATTTAATGGGAATCTCAAAGATCCACCCACTTGCGAAAAAATATACTAAACAACTTCAAGTATTCGATTGAAGAGGCTTCGAAAGATCGAGTATCAAGCTTCGAACCAGATGAAAACTTCCAAGCTGCTTCTTAACTCAACACATTGTGGACTAAATCTTAAAAGGTTAGACCTACAGCTTGGAGAGAGACTTAAACCACTAATTAGGTTGTTTTCGGAGTTTAGGCAGTGCAGGGATCGTTTATCACTTCGGGACGTGATGAGATGACTGTAATTTAAATGGGGCATATCATCGTTACCAGTTGTGTTCCAGCCAGGTGTCGAGATGTGATAAGGATTCTCGACTTGCTAGGACCCGTAACTTGTGCATTGGAATAGTAAAAGTACTACGATGTTCCGAGGCTTGTTACGAGTTTGGTTTGAGTTAAGTCATTCCTGCTTGTAGACTGTTGGGATTCGCCTACCTGCTGGCAACCTCTGGATGGCCGGGGCTTGAGAGCGTGAACCATATTTCGTCCGCGGTCGCATTCAGCATTCCTGTCTCTTCGGTGGCGGACAGACTGCGCGCAACGACGGGACTCGAGTTAGCGCTCTCCCGATCTTCCTCTGCCTCGATGAGACCTCCGGTCCCTGGGACAGAGGCAGTCGCGGCCTGATCGTCGATCAAAAAGACAATCCGACGTCGGTTCACGTCGTCCTGGTAGAAAGCTTGCACCTCATTTCGTCGAGTGAGGTCGTAGAGTCGGCCGTACTTGGGCGCCGGTTGGTGCTCGTTCTCCTCCACCCGGTAGACAGCTCGAGGGTCGGCAGTGTAGAGGTTGACTGCTGACAAATGGAAGCCCGGTCGACCATGTAGCACACTCGTCAGTTCTCCGGCGCCCGGTGGCCGGTTGATGAGCAATGGCCGGACCGGAAGTGAAGCTTGTCTGAGGCCGGCTTCGCCGGTCTCCAGGCTGTGAACGTTCAGAGTGCGTATTCGCAACTCAATCGGCTCATACAGCACATCGTCAGCCAGCCCCCCGACCTCACCGGGCGGTAGAAGATGAGGGTCGAGACCCATTTCGTCCGACTGGACGCCTCGAGAATAGCCGAGCCGTCCTGCCCAACGGGACGAGGCGACCAATTGGTCGGGCTGCCTAACGCCGCGGTCGAATGCGGCCTCGAATTCAACTACTGTCTGAATGGCGATCCGCTGCAGGGCCTCGGTCTCTGCGATGTGCGCCAAATCGTCTGAAAGAAACGGCTGCTCATCATCATACACTCACTTTGCTACCAGAGTCAATTACGCCAAATCAAGTCCTCCTAACGGGTAAGTAAGATCCTCAAGTTTCAACAGATTACATATTTGTCGAATTAAGTATTGTTTGCGTGACTTCCAGTAAATCAGTAATATAAGATGCATTCAGGGCAGGTGTACATTATATTCTTCGGTGGGATTGTTGTGGAAACAATGCTACATCTGTGTAATGAGATGTATTAACCCTATTTCATCTAAGGTGATGAAGGACTGGTAGTAGAATTTTCCCACAATGATATGATTTGAGCTGAAGTTTCCATTGAATTTCCCAAAAGTTGTTCTCATCCGGGGTGGACTGCAGTTTCGACCTCGCATTGGTCTTATCAAAACCCTCAGCGGGATTCGAACCGCGACAGTG